GGTGCAACTTGGGGGTGAGCAGAAACTCCTTTTCCCCCCTGGCCTTTGTTATTGAAAACATTTCTAGGACATCTGAGTTCACTGAACTGCCTTAGTTTATAGTGTTAAGAGGAAAAAAATGTATCTTAGTTTAATGTCTAAAACCCTCTCATGACTGAATACCAGTGATGAGTGGCACTTTCCAGAACTGGGGGGTTGAGATGGACAAGTTATAGGACATTGAGTCTAGGGTAAGCCCAGGACCTCTTCTGGAATCTAACAAATTTCCTATCGTGTGCTTATTTTCTTCTTGTTTGTTTCCCCTAACAGTGATTTTCAGAAAATAAAAGCCATCTTGGAGGCTTGAAGGTCCTAAAGAAGTAGACGTTGAGTTTACAAAGAAAAGGTACAGAAATTCCATGTGTCTGACAGCAGTGGACTCATGGACTCATGAGCTGTTTCCTTGTGTCCCAAGTGGGAAAAGGAGACATTTCTGATCCGTGCTAGGGGCCCTAAATTAATTCCAGAAGGTGAACTGATTCTAATCTTGCCTTCAGCCTGTCCACTGTCTAGCTTACTCCTGTGAAAGGGGATATGGGTATCACTGGGAGGTGCTCACAGGCTTTTATTGTAAGCCCTGTCTGTGCTCTACTTCGGGCTATGGCACGGAGAATTTGTTCCTCCCAGCACTCCAGCTTCTATTCCACACTGTGTGGACTCAGGCAATCTTACTGGTTCTTATGAAGCATGCCCAATTAATATTGCTTGAAGGGTGGATTTGCATGCCTTCTGTCTTACAATACTAGGTAGGAGAAACACTCCCCAGTTGGATATAATGTCCATCCCCACAATGTAATCTGGCAGAAGGGATGCAACCACTTTGCCTAAAGCCTGTTCAAACGTACCAGTTCTCCTACAAACTTTTACCTTAATTCCATCAACTCCTATGGTCCTACCTCCAGTCTCTGTTAGGATTTCATTGACAGGCTTTGGCTTTTTAATACTTGGTAGGGGAAGTTTTCCCCAGCCAGACATAATATTCATTCCCATAAAAACATTTAGGTAAAGGAGACAGCGTTTTTACATAAAGCCTGCTCAAACATTCCACCTTTCATGATCTTATCAACCCTTACATTTTTATTTTTTTATTTCTTTTTTCTAATATTTTATTTATTTTTGACAGAGATTGAGTGTACAAGCAGGGGAAGCAGCAGGCAGAGGGAGAGGGAGAAGCAGGCTGGTGTGGGGCTTGATCCCAGGACCTTGGGATCATGACCTGAGCCAAAGGCAGATGCCCAACCATCTGAGCGACCCAGGTGCCCCTTTATTTCCTTTTAAGTAAGCTCTACACCCAGCATGGGGCTTGAACTCATGACCCTGAGATCAAGAGTCACGTATTCTATATATTGAGCCAGCCAGGCGTCCCTACCCTTACATTTTTATATTTTCTCAATCTAATTGTAGCCTGAGTCAGGGTGTCACCAAGGGGTTTTGGTACCATAGTTAGGAGGAGTCCTGAATGAATGAGTCCAGAAACTTCTCTTTTCCACCTTCTGACCATTTTACCCACTCTTGTGCAGAAGGCTTTGGGTTCCCAGCCAGAGTTTGAGCCAAGGGACCCTGGCCTTTTTGTCAATCTTTAACTTGATTCATCTGTCCAAACACTGCCCCAAATGATTGCTGGTTAGGTTTCTCATTGCAATTTTGCCTGCTGGCTTTTTAAAGTTCTCCAAACTGGGATAAATAGAGTAGACTTGTCTTGGGCCCTTTAATGTTGAGGGACCAACACAGAGTCCCTTTGGCCCTCCCAACCTTTGGCAGTGTTGTACTAAAATCTTTAATTCTATCAAAGTCTGTTTTATTCATCTCATTTCTTAATAACCATCTAAAGATTTCCATCCTGTGGGATGAGTCCTGGGACTCTTCTCTGTTTCCTCTTTGTTTTGCTCCTTTCAATATTTGCTTTATTCACCTTATTCCTTACTAACTGTTCAAAATCTTCTACCTTTGTGGCCTTTTCCTATTCTATTGTTAATTAACCTGATGTTTTTATTAAGACCCATGAGAGAAAGCTGAGACATCAAATTGGCAAAGGCTTCCCAGAGTGTTTTTTGGTTTTACAGCAGTAAGGTTATATGGGGTGCTCGTGTGAAAGAGACCCCTTAACCACAGCATTTACCATGACCTGGGTAATGGGCATATTCAGCAGGCAAATAACTCAGTCATCTTAAAGCCAGTTCCATGTAGCTTGCATATGAAGCATGTCAGCGGCTTCATCTGGGGTATTCCACTTGGCATTTTTGGGGCAATTGAGAAGTCCCCCTTCTCAGGGTAAACAGACCCTACAGTGGCTTTTATCCAGTTAACTGGCCTGGTCATTCCCTTAGGAATAACCTCCTTTGTATCTGGATCACATATAGCCATCTGTAATTGTTCAGTCATGAGCCGTGGGTCCTGTATCAACCCAAACATGCCCTTCCACTCCACAGTATTCAAAATCAAAGGCACAGCTCCTAAATTAGTTCCTCTCATAATTTATTTTAGTAAAGGGTCTTCAGGAAGCTGATGATACTGATCCACAAAATGAAAACAGTTCTTTCACACTATACTCTCTGGTTTCAATAGTTTCTTGATTTTGCCCTCCCCCACCATTGACTACTTTCTTGGTGACCTGAGGTCTTAGAGGGATCTACAATTCTTACCTTGGGGGGTGACTTTGAGTCGAGTGGCCCAAACTCAGACTGACGCAAATCTGAGCTTGGTTTAGCATCAAGGCCCAACCCAGCACTTTCTTTTACTTTCATTTTAGCTATTATGGATAATAACCAAGGGATTGTATGTTTAGCATGGTTATTATTATTTTGTATTTCCTTATATATCCAATGAGCTAACTCTTTAAGAGTTAGGTTTACTACTGAAGTGGTTCAGAATAAGGCTCCCCAAAGTATACCATTTTGGCATGCGAACTATTTTGAGCTGAAGGTAATCAAGACCTAGAGGGCTCAAGAGAAATTTTCGCCCCTCCTTTAACTACCTAGAAGATTTAAGTTGGAAATTTTTCCCCAAATGAGAGTTTTTACCAGAGATAAATTTTATCTAAATGACCATCTGTATGGCAGGGCAAACACCTAATTGCCAAATATCTGCTGTTCTTCTTGTCCTGTGAATCACCGTTTGAAGCCCCAGGCCTATATCCCATTCCTTAGCTCAGGATGGTATATATACCTCATTTTACCTTTCTGTCTTTGAACCTCTCATATATGGGGGGTTCTCATACCTACGAAATTAAATTTGATTTTCTCCTTTTTATTTGTCTCATATCAATTTAATTCTTAGACCAGCTGGAAAAACCTTTGAAGGGTAAAAGAAAAATTTTCATCTCCAACAGCACCATTTCTAAATTCAATTGGTAATTTTTACCTTTAGTAATGGATCACAGTGCAGCTGCAGTTTCATACTGTGGGTAAGTAGGTAGCCATCCAGGGATCAAAGGTTCATCATCCCCTGCCCTTTTATCCTTTCTCTTCCCAAACCACACGTTTCCATGAGTCAGGGCTCTTTTAGCAAATTCTGTTTCTCTGATGCCAACTAAGGGCTTCTGAACCCAACATCTGGATGTGGGGAGGATTTCCCCCCATACCACGGATTCTCCAACACCAGCTGGGTGTCCTGTAATTCAGTGCAGTTCTGACACTACTGGGAGATAATGTTAGATTCTGTGGATTAAGTGTTCAGTCCCTACAAGACTACCCTCTTTCCCCCACTTTGAATGTCAGTCCAGGTTGTTACCTGTGCTTCTGACTGATGGGTTATAGATCAGGGGTTCCCACAGCCTTCTCTTTGGGTTCAGTTAATTTGTTAGAGTGGCTTACAGAACTCAGAGAAACATTTCACTTACTAGACTATTGGTTTATCATAAAAGGATATAACTCAGGAATAGCCAGGTGGAAGAGATGCATAGAACAAATTAATGGGGGAAAGGGGCAGAGCTTCCATGCCTTCTCCAGACACCACATTGTCCCCAAATCCCCATGTGTTCACCAATCTGGAAGCTCTCCAAAACCTATCTTTTGGGTTTTTGTGGAGGCTTCATTGCATAATCATGATTGATTAGACTCATTGGCCACTGGTGATTAAACTCAATCTTCAGCTCCTCTCCCCTCCCTGGTGGTTGAGGGGTGGGACTGAATGTTTCAACCCTTTAGTCACACGGTTGATTCCCCTGGCAACCAGCCTCCATCCTTAGGTGGGGGTCCAAAAGTCACCTCCTTAACACAGCAAAAGACACCTTTGTCACTCTTGGCCCTTAGGAAATTCCAAGGCTTTTAGGAGCTCTGTGCTAGAAACAAGAAGGCCAAATACATATTTCTTATTATACATCATCATATCCCAGGCTGCATTAAGAAATTCTTGCACCCATCCTTTTTCTTTGTTCTTGATTCAGAATAGTTAAATTAGCTTTGGTAATCAGTTGTTCAGAGGAATAGCCTTGCTCTTTTATTTCCTTGGTTAGTGATGCTTTTTTGAGTAAGGAATTATTTATTCCCTTCCCACAAATTCCTTTAAAAATATGAGGTGCTACCAAAATCGTTCAAAACTAGCTCTTTAGATGAGTTCCTGGGAGCCCATGTCTGTATTTGTCTCTTTCCTCTCTCACCTAACTGCTTCCTCTCTTAATCTTCTATAGTCTTCAGACCCTTTGGGTTGATCCATAAGTGAGGTTTGTGTGCACTGTCAAGAAACAGTGATAAAGGGGCGCCTGGGTGGCTCAGTCGTTAAGCGTCTGCCTTTGGCTCGGGTCATGATCCCAGGGTCCTAAGCCTGGCATCGAACTCCCTGCTCGGCGGGAAGCCTGCTTCTCCCTCTCCCACTCCCCCTGCTTGTGTTCCCTTTCTCGCTGTCTCTCTCTGTCAAAAAATAAATAAAATCTTAAAAAAGAAAGAAACAGTGATAAAGCTGTGGACTGAAAATAGAGCAAAGGAAGAGAAAGCAGAAAAAGGCCAAAGGGGGGGGGGTCTTACGTGGAGAAGGCATTATTCTGTTTCTCACATCGGATTCCCTTGCAGTTGTTTGGCTCATCGATCGCTCTGGTCTCATAATAAAAGTAAAGCTGGTTCAATCCATTGGCAAAAGCCAGCAGTACTAGGCAGTAGATAAAGAGAAATTTGAGGATATCAAGCAGCATGCGCCCCAAAGAGATCTGCAGAGGCCCTAAGTGGGAGTTGGCTGTGAACAGGGATATGAGACGCAACGAACTTAAGATGTTGGATATTGCAAAGAGTGCTTCTGCAATCAGGGTCGGGTGCCACATTTCCCATTCTTCCCTTGGACGAGAACCATTATACTGTAAGAAACAAGTGCACAAGATGAGAGGTACAGTGAACATTTATAAAACTTTTTCCTCTTTTCTCCTGTCTAGCACCCAAATAAAGCTACCAAAGTAAGCATCAAGCATTCATTTATACAACAGGCCCTGTGCATGGCACTGTTTGTCTCCCCTCCCTATCCAATCAATATATGATGCTAATAACTCTTTTCCTCCCACTCTCACCCAAATATATTCCCTGCATATACAGAGAAAAATGAATTTTAGAGCAATCATCTGGAGCAACCACCTGTGGTTTATCCACAGGCATTTTCTAACTGTGAGTTTACCAGATTATTGGGGAGTGTCACTGGAACAGCGCCATTGGTACGCTCCAGGTAGTGGGGACAAATTACTCTGCTTCCTAATGAGATTTCAAATCAGATTTACCTCCCCAATCCCCCATTTCCTTCTGAGCACCATGGACAACTTGTAGTTACTGAAGGACTAGGGATAGGTTCGGCCTCCTCGGTGTGCAATGTTCATCCTGACTTCCTGGCTGACTTGCAGTTTGGGGCTGTTAGAGCAACCTTGTCATTACTCAGCTTTCCGCTGAATTTTAGCAGTCTGTAATGTATTTCATATTATTAGAAAAAGCATGTCAACCTTCCAGGTAGTGAATTTAGTACTGTTCCACATGGTGGTGTAGGCATGTATTTTATAGTTCTTTTGACAGCCCTACAAGTTCAAATGTCCTTCTAGTACAAATGAAGAACCAAGGGGTTGAAGGAGGGGAAGAGCCAGTATTTCTGGGGTTGGTTGCCCTTTTTTCATCCCTATCCTGGACTTCCAGGTCCTGGAATATAGGGAGCAGCTTTATAGAAAGATGGCTTCATTGTGAGACCTTAGGTCCGATTTGGGCTTTGTCAACTTAAAACTGCCTGTATCTCTCCATTTCATCATAGAATGAGTATAATATCTACTCCTATCCACTGCACAGGTTTGTGATTATGTATCCATATGTGAGAGAATGTGTGCTCCATAAGGAGAGATGTTATGGAAATATAAGAATTTGCGTATTACCTTCCCCAAGACAGAAGTAGATTTTGCCTGGAATTCAATCCGAAGCATATTGCCTAGAGCTCTCATCTAAATATCGCAATTTCTTAGGACTAAATGTAAACAACTTTTCTGAAAAAATGTTGCATTGGGGGCCAAATCATATTGTTAGCATTTCTAAACTGTGCTTCAGTTCCAACAACTGACAAAACTGGTGTTGTTAAAATCATTTGTGTGTATCCAATATTCTTCATTGTCAGAGGAGTTGGGAGAAACCTTGCCACCCTTGTGCTTCTGTTTTAGATGAACTCTAGGTGGCTAATCCATTTTATACACTCTTGGCCAAATCTTGTATCTCTACATTTTTCCTTCCCAAACAACAACAACAAAAACACCCCACATTGGCTGCATCGCAGTGAGGGGTGGGCATTGTCATGCCTGTTTTACAAGTGGAGGAACTGAAATCCAGATAGGCAGAGTGACTTGCTTCAGATCACACAGCAAGCTAGTGGCAGAGCCAGGACTAAAATTGTGATCTCCATTCACTTGGTCTGGCATTATCTCTATTAAATGTTCACTCAAATGATAGTTGATGTCACAGCACATATGTTAGATGGGTCTTTAAAAGTTCTGAGCTCTATGTGAGAGATGGAGACTACTGATAATGAAACAGATTTATATTTTAAAACTAGAAATTATCAACTGGAACATGCACAGCTCATAATTCAGAATTTTCTCCCTCCATAATTACAGCTGTAAGCACAGGGAAGTCTGCTGCCCGGGGAACAGTGAGTCTGCATTTGTAGAACATTCAGAGGTGTGAAAAATGATTCTTATGGCAAATCTGTGTTTTGCATCTATACCTTTGGAGGAAGATATTATAGAATATGAGAGCAGGGAATAAACTTGGAGCTCTTTTAGCATCAAGGTCAGCAAACTTTTTCTGTCAAGGGCCATATAGTAGATATTTTTGGCTTGGTGGGTTATATGGTCCTTGTCACAACTACTCAACTCTTCCTTGTAGAACTAATAGGGAATACGTGAACAAATGGATATGGCAGCAGGCCAGATTTGGTCTGCAGACCATAGTTTGATGGCTCCTGGTCTAATACAAGTGGTTTGCAAATTGTGTTCCTTGAAGACTGAAGGTTCAGTAGAGGCATCTGGTAGCTACTCTGGGAGCCAAAGAGGAGGCCTGGGAGATTGATTCCTCAATCCGAATTCAATCTTTGAGCTCTCTAATATTATTGAAGTTCTGAATAAGTTTTAACTTCAAGATACGGTTTCATGGAAAAAAATAAAAGGCTGACAGCCACTGATCTAGTTCAATCTGCTTATTTTTCAGAGGCAGAATCTCAGGCTCAGGGAGGTAGAAGGATGACCTATGGTATTCTAGCTTGGGACAGAGCAAGGATTACATTCAGGTTTCCTGATTCTTGAGTTAGTGATACTAGGAGGCGAGTGATTTTTCTTACATCGTTTGAGATAGAATGCAGATTGAAAATTGGCCTCCATGTCTTTCAAAGGGGTATAAATGGCACTCTGACAATTCATGAAGCAAAATATGAAGAGGGCCAGCCTAAGGTAGGGACTTAATTATAAGGACGGAGTGGGAGATTGTGTCTTCAGCCAAGTACTGGCTGAAGAAAGGACCATAACTCAATGGGTACCAAAGTTCAGATTTAGTTTGAATGTATGGAAGTAAGGTGGTGGTGGGATAAATCTCGGTGGTACTATCCTAGAAGACACAAAGATAATTATTCTCCATTTGTAAGATTATCTGGGGGGCACTGAGGGCCGATCTTATGTGTATTTGTTCCTTTTGAGTACTTTGGTATGCGCCTTTTGGTTTCTGTTGTTGAAGACCATGTGCAGTGGAGTATATATCTTGTTTTTGCTCTAATAAAGGATCTTCTGTAAGGCCACCTTATCCCATGGCATTTCTGTACTGCCTTAGTACAACAGTGATCAGAAATGTTTCAAGGGGCCTGGGGACCAGCTTTTGTGGCTTTACCTCACAGAGGTTGTCTCAGCCTACTTGGAGAAGTTCATCTCAGACTAGTATGTCTCTGTGGATGAGCAGACCAGACTGACCATTTGCAATTTCTCATTGCAAATCCAAATCTGCATGTGGCATGTCTTGCTTTATTAATTCTCCTTTTTTTTTTGAGAAGAACTCCAACTTTTTGGCAAATGTCTCCTTTGGGTTAAGTGTTTATCAGTTGAGGGGCATTTATTCAGCTTAATATAGCTGATTTATCCTTCCACTATGTGATGGGGAAGTTCTAGCTCCTTGGAATTCCTGCCAGTGAAATTGAATAGGTTATAAAATTAGTTAATATTGGGAATCTGTAGACATGTTTATATCCCTAAGAGTAAATCCTTTTCTTGATAATTTATTCTAAACTTTCTTGTTTAAGCAAAACCTACCAATTTCTAGATTGATAATCTGTTGTCCCTCCTGTGTATAAATAACACTTCCAAAGGAAGAGGTTTTTTTTTTTTTTTTTTTTTTTTTTTTAAAGGCAAACAGTGTTACTTAGCAGAGTGCCAGAATTACATGGATTTCATCCAGGCACATTAACCAGAGAGATTCAAACATTTTCCTCACCAGCTTTTTCTTGTAAGGAAGTTGTAAGTATGTGTTAAACGATCACCACAAGTATAAGGCATACTCTTAGGCTTCTTTCAAAAATGTTTCATGACTGCATTCAATATTCATGCTCCACATAACTAACTCCCAAGGTCTTCAAATTTATGCAATATGCATATTAAGGATATAAAAATAAGTTGTTGGAGATTTGGGGGACAGCCATATTCCCATTCTAAAACTCCCTAATGTGGGAGTTAGTGCCAAAAAGCATGACTGACTAGACAATCTTGGAGATTGAATTGTCAGCTTTTCCTCATGCTGGAGAAGTTCAACTCAGGGTAGAAGGAGCCAGCCGTTCTATCATCTAATGAGCACCAAATCTGAACCCAGGGCCTAGGACTACCCAATATGAGATGTTGGACATGAGGCTATTTTTCAGGACAATTTAGGCTGTACATTGTGTGGGAAAAGCATTAAGATACTCTCTGTGTGTGTGTGTTCATTATCTGAATTGGTACCGAGGCATAGGTTGAGTGATACTCAAAAAGCTGGATTTATAACAGCTTGAATGATCATCCTGGTGCTGGAAGTAATGAGGGAGGCAGAGATGATTAAAGATCTCTGTCTCCTGCAGTGAAGTTTCTAGGGTTCCTCTACCTGTCATACGAAGAACACTTGAGGGAAGTGTGAATACTTAGCTTTGAGATGAGTCAAGTCAGCAAGTTAGGGAGAGATGGCTTCACACTGGAAGCACTATTCAGAAAAAGGAAGAGCTTTGTTCTGTTTGACCCAACAGGGAATAAGGATTATTAATGGATGTGTCCCAGGGAAAATAATATTAGAAAAACATAAAGTAGCACTTTTTAATGAAGTGACAAGGGTTAAGAGAGGTTTTTGGAGATTGTGAATTCAGTGTGTTTTCTGTCCCTGACCTATGGAAGCATCAGTGGACCATCTTGGCAAAGATATTGTAGAGAGGATTTAAACACTCACTGGGTGGGTTGGTGGCTGTCAGAGTTTAAGAAGCTGAAGATTCATTTGTAAATTGTTCTATTCTTCACTTAGGTGGAAACTACTTACAAGCTATTGAAAGAATGTTTGTTTATATGGTACTTTCCCACATGGATTGGACTGTCAACAACAGTTTTCGCCTAAACTCTTCATGCTCCCCATGCTAAAGCTTAATGTAACCCAAATCACTGCTTAAGAAAAAGGGCAAACATTCCAAGTTACCTTGACATAGGCCACAATCTTCAAGGAAATGGTTGCCAGGTAGAGTGAGTTCATTGCAAAATCCATCAGATTCCACCAGTCATGGATATATTCAGTAAATCCACCATCCCACATTTCCTTAATCTCCCCCCAAATGAAACCTAAAGAATGGAGGCAAGAGGTTTATTTCTAGACAGGGTCAAAATAGTATCATAGTCATCACAGTAGGATTCCCCTGAGTAAAGACAGGCAGAAGCAATGAATGAATTGAGATCACTGGAGAGAAGCCCCCAGAGATGGTAATAATAACATATCTCTTTTTCTTTCCTGCATCACCTCTCAGTTGTGGATTTGCCAAACCTGATAGGCTTTACCTGAAGATGCTCATGCATTATACTTTTCCAGATGCTACTCACTTTTAGCATTATTATTATAGTTACTGGTGCTGTTGCAATTTTGGGTGCTTGATTCTATCCTATTCCCATTTTGAAGTAGGAAATTTATTAATTTCATTAATAAACTAATGAGGTCAATATTATCCTATAGTCTTTAGTTTCCATCATGTGCTAGAGGGAAAACTCAGTAAGTTTTGAGGTGAACTAGCTGACCTCCAACCGAATTACTGGATGTTGAGGCTGACACTAGGCAAAGGGGCCCAAAATAACTTAGAACCCTCTTTTCTCCTTTCTCCTCTCATTGTGTGGGTGGTTTTGTGGAATTCTGCCTGATGACATAGATGTTTCTTGAATCTTGGAATCAAGAAACCAGTAAAAGGTGTGGCTGTAGTCTTTTTTTTTTTTTTTAAAGATTTTATTTATTTATTTGACAGAGAGAGACACAGCGAGAGAGTGAACACAAGCAGGGGGAGTGGGAGAGGGAGAAGCAGGCTTCCTGCCAAGCAGGGAGCCCGACGCGGGGCTTGATCCCAGGACCCTGGGATCATGACCCGAGCCGAAGGCAGACGCTTAACGACTGAGCCACCCAGGTGCCCCAGGTGTGGCTGTAGTCTTAAGGCAGTGCTTCTCAGGCTTTAAAGTGCATGTCAATCACCTGGGGATAATGTTGAAATTCAGATTCTGGTTCCCTAGATCCAGGGTGGGACTTGAGATTTTGTATGTCTAACAAGTTCCCAGGTGATGATGCTGACATTGCTGATTTGGGAATTACAGTTTGAGTAGCAAGGATTTGGAGGATAGCAATGCATTGGAGGGTCCAATGCAATCTAACCATGCTTGGAGACTACTGGTGAAGTTACTTTTACCATGAATTGTGTGAATTTCCCAGGTTCCCCTCCCAACTGTGGAATCATTACCTATATAGGATGTGGACCCTAAACAAGTACTAGGATTCTCTGGAGTAGCCACAAGAAAGGTTCAAGTGCTCTTGAGTTATAGAAAGGGCATTGAATAGATTAACACTTGCTCTGTCTAGCTTACCTGCAACCCATTCTGACTGATATTAGGCGTTCCTTCCACACCAACTGATACACAATTTCCTGTCCTTGAAGATGTTAGGTTAGCAGAATTAAGCCCTGGGTTCACTGCCAGTCTCACTGTGGGCCAGGTAATACTAAGTGACCGGGGTCTGGGGAAGAAGGAACCACATTTCTGAGACTCCCAACAAAGGACTTCCCCATGGCACAAAGAGAAGATGTCCTGATTCAGGGCCAGTCCATCTGCCTGTTCCAGTATTTTCTGTAAACATGAGCAGCAGGCAATCTGGCCATAGCTCCTGGTTTCTTTGACTCACCGAGAACCCAGGGCAATATCATCCATTCCACGACAGTTGGGGGAGGCCCCTGTACATGAAGGTCTGTCCTGACGATATGCTGAGAAGCCAGGAGAAGCATGAAGAGGAAGGTCAGATATGATGCTGTGTGGCAGATAAACTTGATAAAGGGTTTCTTGATGAACAGCCCAAGGTTGCTCCTGGGTGAGATCAGATAAGCTATAGACAGCATGGGAAACAGGAACCCAATGGTCATGCAGGTAAGCAGCTTGACTACCCAGTGTTTCCGTCGCCATCCAGGGAAGCCGTCATACCACAGGGTGGCAAGTAACTGTTGGCAATTGGGCTGAGCAACAAACTGGGAAAGAAAGAGAACAAGTTAGGCATCTTGGACGTCCAGGGGGACGTCTACATTCATAATACCTCTCCTAGTTTACAGCCAGCTTCATGGCCAATCCCCAGAAGAGGCCTTTTTTCCAGATTTCCATGAATGGATCTAACCCCAGAGACAGCTCTACATCTCAAGCTATGAGACTGGATTTTCCTTAGGGTTATTTGCTTCATATATTAAGCAAAATCACTCTTTTGGGTTTGTGCTTTGTCATACTTCCCTATTCTTCCTCCCATCATCTTAGAGAAATGGTTCCCAAACCTTGGCTCTCCATCAGATTCATCCAGCAAACATTAAAATATTCAGGTTCCCAGGTTACACCAAAGACTGACTAAATGAGCATCTCTGGGGAGTAGAGCCTGGGCAGCTGTTTTACAAAGTTCTTCTGGGAATATCTATGTCTTTTAGCAGAGAATCATGAGGACATTTTATTTCAAATTGGTTCACTTTTACTCATTCCCTGAGCTTACGTGAGGTCATCAACAAATATGCACTATGTTTGGGCAAACACAAACTGGCAGAGAATAAACTCATGCCTGTGGCTATGGTTTAGAATGGAAATGAGTTCCCTGCTTGATTTTGTCTCTTTTCCCCTTTGGTTTTGAGCACCTCTTGGTTGGCTAGCAGTGAATCAGCTTGCTGCTTTGCCATCTATTAATACCCTGTCAAGTCTAGACACGCAGAAGAGGGAACAATATTTGGGGGCCCAAATTACAACACTGTGTACTAACTCAGCTGGGATTTTACTTAATGGCAATCTCCAAAGTGTCAGTGATTAATAGTTAAGGAATCATCAGGATTGCAAGTCATCATTAGGCTGCCACTTCCTGGTAAGCAACTCAATAGGGAGCTCAACTGTCAGCTGTGATTTTAAATACTGCCTACATTTCCCAGCTTCCCATGGGAAAGGTTAAATAGAACTGTACCATATAGCTTACTAGGACAAAGGAAATAAAATTCTTTCATGATTTAGCTGACACCCGAGGTAGACTAGCCCAACTTTACTGTTAGTATATCTGTGAAGGTCACTGGCTTCCCACCAAAACCATTCTGCTCTTCCTTGAGCACATAGCTGGACTACACCTTCCAGTCTCCCTTGCAGTGAGATGTGGCCACATGACTAAGTTCTTAATAATGGGACTGCTGAGAAATGATGGGTGGTACTTCCAGGCCTGGCTTATAGAAGTTTCCCATGTGTGTTCCTCCATGTTCTCTCCTGCTTCTGGCTGACTAGGATGTGGTAACCCAGGATGACCTAGGAGTTTCTGTCAGCTTGTGTCCATCAATGACCATATAGAGGAGAACTATCCTGCTAATACCTGCCTTGGACTGTTACATGACTGAGAGGATTCTAGTATGTTTGAGCCATTATGTATTTGGGAGTCTAGACTACCCTAAAGCACTTTACTATTATGAAACTATCAAAAAGAAACTCTAACATTTTTTTATCATGTGATCTCATCTTCTTCAAAGATGCTTATGATCCCCAACATGTCCTGGATCACATAGAAAGACACAATCCTATAGTCTCTTACTACTCTTCTTGGCGCACAATAGCCTATGCCAGAGGCTGGGATGAAAAAGTCCTAAAAAAAAAAAAAGGACAGAAAAGTAGAAGTTGGGTAAAGCAAGATGTTTGGATGCAGTGGGAAGAGCACTGGGAGTGCACAATCTAGTGAGGGAGATGGATGTATAAAAAGGCGGTTATAAAACAGTATAGTAAGGGCTTAAAGTTAAAATGGATATGAAGAAAGCATAATGGGAGCACAAAGGAGAGCAAATCTGGACTGCTCAGCCAAGGCTCCCTGGTGCAGGTGATACGTGAGTGGAGCATGACATGATGTGTAGAAGTTGGTTAAGTGTAGGAAGGGAAACGGAGTTATGGAGAGGGAAAAGGAGTGAACAGCCAAAGCAGAGGGTATGACATGACTAAAGGCATCGAGGTTAAAAAAGAACATGACCTGTATGAGGAACTAGAGCAGTCTGGGGTGGCTACAGCTTGAAATGCAAAGCTGTGAATGGCAGGAGATAGGGCTGGAGAAGTAGACAGGGGTTACAGAAGATTAAAATGATAACCTTTGGCTACTGTAAATAGTATGACTCATTTTAAAAGAGATAGGGAGCCATAAGCAATATGTTTATGTGTGTGAGTGTGTGCAAGTGTGAGTGTGTGTATTTGTGTGTGTTTAGAGTAGTGGAGTAGTTAAGACTCTCCACTGTAGACTCTGGAGCTAGATTGCATTGGTTCTCTTTGTTCTTCAGTGATTTTGTCTGAAGAATGGAGATCATAGCATCTACCAGCAAGGGTTGGTGTGAGAATTAAGATCACTTATGGGGTGCCTGAGTGGCTCAGTCGGTTGAGCGTCCAACTCTTGATTTTGGCTTGGGGTGGTGGGATCGAGCCCCATGCTGGCCCTGCAGTTGGCGGGGAATCTGCCTGAGATTCTCTCTCTCCCTCTCCCCCTGCCCCTCCCCCTACTCATGCGCACGCGTGCACACACACACACACACACTCTCTCTCTTTCTCAAATAAATAAATAAATAGGAGTGCCTGGGTGGCTCAGTCAGTTAAGCGTCTGCCTTCAGCTCAGGTCCTGGGATCTAGCCCTGCATCAGGCTCCCTGCTCAGCGGGGAGTCTGCTACTCCCTCTCCCACTGCCCCTCCCCCTCTACTCATGTTCTTTCTCTTGCTTTCTCTCTCTCAAAGAAATAAAATCTTAAAAAAAAAATAACTCTTGAAAAAAAAGACCACTTACTACATACAAAGTACTTAGAACTATGCCTAGCACATAGTAAGGGCTCATTCAATCTTAGCTGCAGATATTATTATGCATGTGATAGGATCAGACTTAGACTTTAGAAAGATCCTTCTAGGGATCGAGTGAGAGATGAATGGGGGGCAGAAAGTGGGCAAAACTTGAGGCAGGAAGACCGGTTAGGAATCTGGTATATGATGATTGTGACTTGGACTAAGGTAATGGCAGTGGAAATGGAAAGCCTCGCTCAGAGGCAAAATGCTGTGAGGAGGTGGAAGGAAGTCGCAGGACGTGGTGATGGATGGGGAGTGAAGTAATAGAAGGGGATTGAGTGTAAAGGGGTGGGGGACTTCCCTTTGGGGTGAATTGGTAGCTATTAGTGTCATCATCTGAGAGTGGGAACACTGAAGCTGGAACAGGTTTATGGAGATGCATGCAGAGTTAGATTTGTCTGTGTGATGCTGAATGGAGATATCTGGACTGATGTACTGATGCAGGGGTTGACCAACTTTCTCTGTAAAAGGCCAGATAGTAAATATGTGGGGCTTTGCAGTCCGTATAGTTCCTGTAGAAACTACTCAACTGTTTCGGTGCAAACTCAGCAATAGACAATATGTAAATATGTAAATGAATGGGTGTTTATTTTTTATTTTTTTAGATTTGTTTATTTGAGAGCGAGATTGGGGAGGGGCAGAAGAGAGAGAGAAAGAATCTCAAGCAGACTCCCTGCTGAGTGCCGAGCCTGATGCAGGGCTTGATCTCATGACCCTGAGATCATGACCTGAGCTGAAATCAAAAGTCAGATGCTCAACTGACTGAGTCACCCAGGTGCCCCCTGCCAATTAACACTTTAGTTGTAGTTTGCCAATCCCTGTACTATGATATTGCTCCCTGCTGCTGCTAGGACCAAACAAATATTTGGACCATGTCAGCAGTGGTCTTTATGACTGCCTGGGACTTCCCCTCATGTATCCCCAAGAACTCTGACTCCAGAAATCACTTTCCCTTAGGCAAAAGTGCAGAGGTGAAGCTTCTTTGAATAAAGGGTATTACCATCCAACCTCTATCTTCACTGCCTCTGCTCTGATTTTCGACTAGGCTGAAGATGGTAATTTTAAAGTTTGGACAGGTTTTTATTTTTCTGTTTCTACATCTGACAAGAGTAGTGTAGGGTGGTGTGGATTCTGGCAGAACAAACTGCAATTAGAATATTATAAAGGAAGTTTTTGTTAAGCCACCACGTAGTATGGAAGCCCAAAACATCTGTGAGCCTTGAAAGCACAATCCTGATTCCTGTTTGCATACTGAAGTTCAAGTTTGACAGGTTATTTAATCAATCTCTACTCGATTTCAAGAATGCCTCAGAAGGAGAGATTGCAGGAAAAACAGCAGAGTGTGTACGCATTGGATGCTTGATTGTACTAAGAGCCAAACTGTACAGAGACTAGAGTGGTAGTTTTTAATTTTGAGGGGGTCCAATTTGTGTTCTATTTTGTTGCTTGTGCTGTTGCTGCCGTATCTAAGAAACCATTACCCTATCCGAGATCACAAAGATTTGTACCTAGGTTTTCTTCTCTGGATTTGATAGCTTTAGCTCTTATATTTAGGTCTTTGATCCAATTTTGAATTAACTTCTGCATGTTGTGTGAGAAAGGGGTCCAACTTCATTCATTTGCATGTGGATATCCACTTAGTCCCAGCACTATTTATTGAAAAGGCTATTATTTCCCCGTTAAATTGTTTTGGCATCCTTGTTGAAGATCAACTAACCATAAATGTAAGGATTTACTTTGGACTCCTAATTCTATTCCATTTATCAATAAGTCTATCCTTGTCTTGTTCCTGATTTTAGGGGAAAAGCTTTCAGTTGGTCTCCATTAAGTATGATATTAGCTATGGCTTTTTCATAGATGGCTTTCCTCAGGTTAAGGAAGTTCTAAACTGTTTTCTGAGTTTTGTTTTTTTTTTAATCATGAAAGGGTGTTGGATTATGTCAAATGCTTTTCCTATGTCAATTGAAATGTGTGTTTTCTCCCTTCTTTCTATGGATATAATGTAATACATCAATTTTGTTATGTGAATCACTCCTACACTACTGGGATGAATTCCACTAGGTCATGATGTACAATCCTTTTTATCTATTTCTGGATTCAGATTGTTTTTTGTTAAGCCTATTGTTCGCCTCAACTGCTATCCACTGTTTCTCAGGCT